AACTCTTAAGAAGAGCCCCTGCATCTCTGAACAGCAAAGGTTTCGTAGTTCTTTATTTCATTCCCTTGGCCTTCACATGCCCTGGATTCTGACACAATGCTCCGCAGCTACAGGGTCACCGAAGGTCAGCATGATTATAAAGGACCTGGGGAGACATACAGAAAGAGAATGAGATGCTGTCAAGACTTTGCTGATGCCACAGGAAGCTCTGCTGATTACTGGTGTTGATGGATTAGATGGGCGATACCTTCACAGTATCCTGAAGGACCTGGTATACTAACACAATGCTTTCAGGTTCAATCTCAAGTAGAAAAGTAACTGAGAACCAAGTTAAATCATCATTGTGCCCTTGAACAAAGCAGTTAGCCTAGATTTGCCCCTGAGAAATGTCTCCAAATTAACATTTTATTGCTCAGAGTCTGCTCTTTTACTGCATACTTATTGGAATTTTCAATTATGTTTAGGGAGTATATAAGAGAATAAGGCTCTCATACTCTAGGAGGACAAAAAATATGAAATTCTGATAACTTGTAATGTAAATCAGTGAGATATTTATAACAGTATAGAAGACAACATATGCACATATCAGTTATTACTCAATATCTTCAAATAATAAGATGATATTTAAATGCTTTGTTTTATGATCAAAGCTTTAGTTTGTATAGCAAAACATATAATGCAATACAATAAAATGATGAATGAGAGATGAACAAATAAACATTCCTAAAACTATCAATTAGACGACAGAAGGCATGTAGTCGATTGCATATAATAGGTTTTTCAGCAAAGTTTAGAAATGTGTGTATCAAACACGATACAGTATGCTTAATCAAAGAGAAATTAATGAAATATTGAAGAGCTCTCTTTTTGTGGTTTTTCCTTCCTAGAGCTATAGTGCACCAGCTGGTGAGCATGAAATACATTTCGTCCAAACGTCCTACAAACACACACACACACAAACATCAGAACAATCTCACAAACACACACCACAGAAAACCACGCTTTTATACTAAAGTGTACCAAGCTGTTTTGTGATATAGTTTTTCCAGATCATCCTCTCTAAACACAAATTCCTCTCTCGGTTCAACTCACAAAACCAAGTTCAGTTCACAGACAAACTCCTCATGGAAGAGGATACATTTGTTACTCACATGGTGGGTATGAATGATCCCATTATGCCAAACCATGTGTATTGTGATTATTTATTGTCTAGCCCAGCTGTTAAACACAAAAATAGTTCAAGCATCACCCACCACCAACGGCCTGCAACCACCTAGAACCTTCAGTACAGAACAACCTCAAATCTCTCGGCCTTGGAAACCATCGTTATGGCAACAGCTAGTATAGAACATTGTGCAGCTCAGAGTTTGCTAAAACTAATAACTTTCTTCCCTTCTTATTTCATGTCTTGACTGAAACTGCAATCTACTGACTTTTAATTATACAATCCTAGAGAAAGAGGCATGTAGTCGATTGCAAATAATAGGTTTTTCATCAAAGTTTAGAAATCTGTGTATCAAATACGATACAGTATGCTTAATCAAAGAGAAATTAATGAAATATTGAAGAGCTCTCTTTTTGTGGTTTTTCCTTCCTAGAGCTATAGTGCACCAGCTGGTGAGCATGAAATACATTTCGTCCAAACGTCCTACAAACACACACACACACAAACATCAGAACAATCTCACAAACACACACCACAGAAAACCACGCTTTTATACTAAAGTGTACCAAGCTGTTTTGTGATATAGTTTTTCCAGATCATCCTCTCTAAACACAAATTCCTCTCTCGGTTCAACTCACAAAACCAAGTTCAGTTCACAGACAAACTCCTCATGGAAGAGGATACATTTGTTACTCACATGGTGGGTATGAATGATCCCATTATGCCAAACCATGTGTATTGTGATTATTTATTGTCTAGCCCAGCTGTTAAACACAAAAATAGTTCAAGCATCACCCACCACCAACGGCCTGCAACCACCTAGAACCTTCAGTACAGAACAACCTCAAATCTCTCGGCCTTGGAAACCATCGTTATGGCAACAGCTAGTATAGAACATTGTGCAGCTCAGAGTTTGCTAAAACTAATAACTTTCTTCCCTTCTTATTTCATGTCTTGACTGAAACTGCAATCTACTGACTTTTAATTATACAATCCTAGAGAAAGAGCTCTCTGGCTAAGAGCAGACTATTGATCTAGTCTTGTAAATTTTCTATGTAAACAACCAAGGGAAAAGTTATAAAACAACAGAGTTAAAGGTCCCTCTTCAAAATATGCAAATTACAGTTTTAACAGCAATGTGTCAAAATTAACATTTTATATTTACTAACAGTTTATATATGACGAAAATGTGTAGCATTCGCCTATGCAAAAATGACTTCCACAGTGACACAAGGTGTTCCAAGGAGTTCTCTAAACTTGAAAAAATAATTGTAATTGTATAAAAGTAAAAAACACATTTTAGTGGAATTAATTTGGTATATTAACACCACTTCTCTTATTAAAAATAATTTAAAAAAATTTAAATTCAACCTGTAAAACTTTAAATGTTGCTACCATATTTTTTTATGGTAAATCTCTTGCAACTACAGCTGTCGTTTTTTAATTAACATTTTTTAACCAGAAATTTCACTTTGACTTGTAATACATATTTAATTTGTTATGAAATGTTACTAAATGTTACATTGTTACTAAATTTTAATACTTTGGATTAAGGGGTTTGTTTTGTTCAACTCACTAACCCTAATTGTAAGCAACAGTTATAATGATCATTTCCTTAAAGGCACAATATGTAATTTTCACCGCTAGAGGGCACGTATTCAAAATAAACAAATAGACAAAGGCGTAGTTTGATGACGCCGTGACTGAGTGTGGAATCATGGGAGTTGTCATCTTCATCCCCACAGCCCATGCAATCTGACGGGACTCGGGCAGAAATCATGTTCATGGATGAGATAATGATTTTTTAACATAGTAGAATGAAGCAGGGTGAGGGTGAGGCTGAAAGCCGTCAAAGCGAAACGAGGCCACTGAACGAGCATGACAAACGGCTAGAAAGCAGCGGAGCTTTTATTATGCCACAGTCGATTGCTTCCGCTCCTTCTGGTCGTGTGTATGTGGGGGGGGAATCTGACGGGACTCGGGCAGAAATCATGTTCATGGATGAGATAATGATTTTTTAACATAGTAGAATGAAGCAGGGTGAGGGTGAGGCTGAAAGCCGTCAAAGCGAAACGAGGCCACTGAACGAGCGTGACAAACGGCTAGAAAGCAGCGGAGCTTTTATTATGCCACAGTCGATTGCTTCCGCTCCTTCTGGTCGTGTGTATGTGGGGGGGGGAAAGCAGCGCTGTTTTATCATACTAGATACATTTGAAAGTTCTGTTATAATGCTACTCTGTGCGGTCGTCACCAGTCTATTAACATATTAAAGCGTCTTTGGTGTTTCCATGTTTTCTACAAAACAAAACCGGAAATCGAGGGGTTATGACGTCATTGGCAGGCGACACAATAACACTATGGACACGGTTCGTGTCACTAGTTAAAATGGCTTATTTCTCCGGATTTAAACATTCTTCGAAACATTTGGGATAATGTAAGTACACAAGTCAGCAAAATATATAACACTGTTCTAGTGGTCTTACAAATCTTACATATTGTGCCTTTAAACAACACTAATTAACTAAATGAATCCTAAAGTAATTAAAGAAAAACTTCTCTGTGGCATTCTAGCTCAGTCTTGTTAAAGTGAGCAACAACAAAAAAAAAGGAAATCATTTTAAAGGATGTTTGTGAAGGAAACAGGTGCACAAAAACAATCTTGCACTGCGTGTCACAGAAAGCTCCTTCTAACCCAGCTGCCACAAATGAATGACAAATGCTTGTTTTGAGATATATGATTGTAGATATGATTGTGGTACTGGAACAAAGAGCGGGGCTCTGAATCTACAGGAACTACTCATGAGACCTGTAGAAATGGGAGAGGCAGGCAAACATGAGGGCTGTGCTTGGAATAGCATGCTACTTTTACAACTCCTGCTATTTTGACAGAATATAGTATGCATACTATGAATATGCAAACTTTCTGTATGCATTGAATATACAGATAATGAACTACATTTCACAAAATGTGCAATAAACAACCATTTATTTCCATAATGCAATAATCTACCAGCAGGGGCTAACAGGGCTATGCCAACCAACCAAACATCTTGGGAATACTTGTGCTCTTTTTCTCAGACATGTCCTGGCTGGGCTTTCTAAATGCCTAAAATGTCCAGGTTTTGGCTTTGTTTTCCTATTGAAGTGCTCTCTACAGTCCTCACACAGTAAATGTATGTGTACTTGCATTGCTTTGACAGTTCTCTATCCCAACTTCTCGCACGCCATGATTGGTCAGTTTTGTGCAATGCCTAAACGCTATTGGTCAAACTTATTTTCAGTCATTACCTTCAGCAAGTATGAAAACAACAGTACAACTAAACCAAAGCCTGGACATTTTAGGCAATTTAGAAATCCCGGCTAAGAAAAAGAGAACGTTTGCTCACCCTACTTGCCAAATATCTACCGTATACACAAAATGCAATGCAACTTAAACTGAAAGTAATAAAATTAGCTGTGAAATGAAATGTATTTTATTGGACTGTTAAAACAAAATTAGATTTTTTTTTCCCCATGCAAAATAACTTTTTTTTTCTCCTGTTAGAATACGCTAACTGGATGCAACTTGCCCCAATAAACATGCAACACGAGGTCATGTGACATACTAACTGAAATGTTTAGCACTCTAGAATATGTTCTGTTTCACAACATTGCACTAAATTCACTCAAATTGAAACGAAACATTACAAATTTGGAATTCAAATTTGTAAGATTTCACGGTGAGAAGTTGGTCATGTATTTGTAGTACAACTTCACTAGAGTATCAAACATTCAGCATAAACTGACAGTCCTCATGTTCTGCATGATTTTTAAGCCACTCGCATTGCTTCAAAGCATGTGCATGCATACACGGCAAGCTCAAACTCACATAAACAGGCAGTCACACCTCGGCCTACTGCTGATCAGGACATCCAGGGCGTTTCCTCTCTCACCTCTTTGCCATCATCTTTTCATCACTGTCAAGAACTCTCTTAAACACAATGACGCTCAGCTAGGCCTACTGGTGAGTACATTTCTAATTACCGCTTTTATTTGTGGATTACCTGTTTTGTTGTGTAAGGTTGTGCGTGAAAGTGGAAGCAGAGCACCTTTCATACATTTGATTTCAAGCACATTTACCAAAAACAGCACATTTCATTCGCGTTAAAAAGGGGATCTGAATTCAAAACCTGAAACTTTTAGACATCTACAGGTTTTTACAACCCAAATCAAATTCAGCATAAAAGGGTTGTTTAGACATCTAGAGCTGTAAAATCAGACTTATTACTATTAATAATATTAATATAATTCAAATCTGTTATCATTTCCCACAACTTATTACAGAGGTGTGCAGCAAACTTTGTTTTAAATTTAAGATTGATATGAAATATGTACAGTAAGACCTTACATATATTTATGTCTTATATTAGATATTTTAAATATATGTTGCGACTTATCTTCTGACAAATGAGCAAGCAAACAAGCGACACTGTTCATGGCTTAGTTATGATCAACCTCAATGCGTATTTCACAACAGGAAACCACAATATGAATGTAGTTCATAGCTCAACTCTGAATTTGTGTCTCTTACATGACATGACAAATTCAAAAGCAGCAAAAACAAAATATTCTTCAGTGAGAATTGAAACAATCCTGTCAAAACAAAAAGGTAATCTGGAACTGGGTTAGTATTTAGGATTGTGATTCAATTCAAGAATTACTGGAAAAAAAATAAACCGAAAGCCTTCTTGCATCAATCCTGGCCACATTTAAATCATCATCTTGACGCTTATGTAAGACTAGTCTCATTATTCCAGTGCCTGTGGTCAGGGTGGTACAGTCAACGCTCATGTAATGCCTGCCTACAGTGACGCCAAAAAGGGATGACTTAAAGTTCGACAAATAACCCTGTTAAAGCTGTTTGACATCAAGGAATATCCGCTTCGTCATGCCTGGAGCTGATCCGTGCTGGTCGCTGAGGAAATACTTCAACTTCGCTCTGTGGATCGCCGGATCGGCTTTCACCGTGGACGAAGCAGAGTCTAGCCCTGGGTCGTCACATATGGTTGCCGCAGGCATCACAGAATGGTAGGGACTTAACATTTCGGTCACAGGCTTGAGGTATTCGGCCAATCACAACACACTGGATAACTGGCCAATCAGAGCACACCTCGCTTTTTCAGACCGATGAGCTTTGTAAAAATCACCGCGTTTCAGAAAGGCAGGGCATAGAGGAGAAACAATAATGTACAGTATGTGGAAAATAATGTGTTTTTGAACCTTAAACCGCATAAACACATTTCATTACACCAAATACATAAAATAATGTTCTTTTTAGCAGCATCATATGACCCCTTTAATATCCAGGACAGTGAGCTCATACTACAATCTGGGACTAACTGCACTGTCACTTATTTCCTAGGAAATGTCGATGCCGCCTTTTATGGCTTATAAAAAGTTTTCAATATCTGAATTCCGCAGCGTCTGACTGCAGTGACGTCACGATTCACGAATGGAGCGTCCCCTCGACCGCTGACCAATGAGCGTGCGTTATGCAAATGAGCTCCCTCAGGTTCGCCTCAGTAGTAAATTTTTTTTTTTTTTATTCATGTTAATATAAAGTCAATATAGAAAAACATTATGCATTTATTCCTTTTGATTTTGGAGAGAAATATGACCTATATTTTTCCTGGCAGTTTTTGTGAGTTTCACCCCATAACTTCAGAGGTAGTTACATCAAAACAGATCAGATTTCCTTTTATCTCCTGTTGACACAGAGAGATCCTTTGTTTTGCTGGCATTTCTGAAACTTTTAAAGCATTTTGCCTCAGAGACTGGTTTACTTTGTGGAGGACTTTTACCGCAGGGTATTTGAGGATCAAGGGGGGCGAACTGGTAAAAGCCGTTGTTGTTTCTGACGCAAGTCACAATTAATTTTATTTATTTATTTTTACTCTAATGGCGGAAATAAGTTTTCATATGTATCACATCTAGTGTTTTGGAAACATTTGCCAAAATAGTCAATCAAAAGTGAGAGTTCTCGATATGAACTCAAACATTTCTCATCAGATTTGACCTAATTATACAGAAGATATAATTATATAGATAATTATCTAAACCATGCAGTCCATATTAATTTTATAGCTCTGTACTCGTCTCGTTTGCATTATTTCTCTAGGAGAATGTTAGCCAATGCTGAGACAAGATTGATAATGTAGCTGAGAACTCAAACTCAATGAAGAGCAAAAACATTTATCTTTAGGTGTGTGGGAAGTTATTAAATGTAAAGGAACTCACTGAAAGGTCTTTCCAATTTAAAATCACTTCTTGTTTCCATCTATTGGAGAACATTGGAGTATGAAGACTTTTGTGTGAGTGAATGTGTGTGTGTGTGTGTGTCTATATGCATGTGCTTGGTCTGTGTGTGTGTAGGCCTCATTGGGGTGGTATTGTGCATAAAGAACACTTCTCCGCAGGCATTCCACATTCCCCAGGGTAAAAACAAGGGCTATTCAGAGAGCAGGTCTCAACCAGCGCTCCACAGCACAGCTCTGTCCTATTTGAAAGACACGGACAAAGAAAAGAGACGATTCTGAAGCAGCCGAGAGTCCTCCT